ATTTTATCCCATACATAGTCAAAATATTGGGGGGATGATACAATGGACCATTCCCCCCACCCCTTGTCAAATATTGGGGATATATCCCCTCCATCCCCCCGGAATCTACGCCTATGGGCGGGACATAACGGAAGACCATCAACGTCATAGGATGACCTTAAGCAAAGAGTATAAAACTGCAAGAGGTCCGACTGCCGGGGATTCTTTGAAACGCAAAAAGTACTCCCACGAAGGGGTGTGGGTTTTAAAAAGATTCGAGCAACACGCACGCGTACGTAGGGAGCCCCCTATTTTGTGGTAGTACTTTTAGCATTCCATTGCCTGCATACCTTGCTGCATACAAGATCAGGTCAGTCGGACCTCTTACAGTTTTATACTCTTGCAATGAAAATGAAAATATGCATTGGACCGATTGGACGAACATCTAAACGAAGCTGTTTCCTTTATTCATAGAATTTTTTATACCATCACGATGCTCTTGAATAAAAAAATAAGAAAATTTGTGTTGTATTCTTATGATTTCTGATCTCAGTTTTACCACAGTCGTCATGATTATTGATGAGTTTTCTACATAAGGCTACAACGGTTGTTGACAAGCTTACTTTCGGTTCATCGAATGAAAGCAAACTCGGGGGGGGGGGGGGGGGGGGTCTATGACAAACTAAATTCGTAAATTACCCTTTGTTCAAATTTTCAATGCGACAATACATTGAAGATATTATGTTCATAAATAATGCATTAGGGTAACTGAGCATTTTAACCTGTTATTAACCATTGTGAAATTGTTTCGTCTTGTGGATTTCTCACTATTTATTTTTTTCATAATTCTTAACCCAATTGTTGCAAAGAAATTACAAATGACATAGGACCATGAAGTGTTTTTAATAATTTTTTAACTGAAATTTGTAAAAGTTCACGAATTTATCCAGCTTCACCCAGTTGCGCGGTCAAGGCCATGATTGAATCCATGGTTCATACCAGTATACCGGTATAAAAATCATGAGTTGAACAATAAATGCCTAATAATACTGTATAATACAGTGTTAGATTGTTTTCGTTTTTCGTTATATTTGCGACTTTTTCGTCACATTTTAAAATAATTTTTTCAAAGTCGTTATACCTAAATGATATATAATATTCTAACTCAGCATACAAGCACATTTAATAACAGATCAAAATGTAATGTTCACTAACAACATGCTATGATGTGTCAACAACCGTATATTATGTGTGTAACTATTTACATACATGTTTTCTGTCCATTATTTTATATCTGTTTTGTTATGTTCGTATTTAATTATGTGTTATGTACATTCATGTTTAAGAACCATACTAAAAGTAAATCTTATAACTTTTTTTGGTTAGGTGACAATATTAAGTGTTGGTGTGTTTTGAAATGAAAACACAAATGAAAACACTTTACACAAAAACTCCCATAAATATACAACTGACACATGCTACATGATTCAGTAAATGATAAGGTACAGGATTTAATGAGAATTCTGAACCTGTACACACGACATATCAAGTGTGACATTCACTTGATGAAAAATATGGTGATAGTTTTCATTCCTATTTTGAAAAAAATAAAAAAAATAAAAACTGGTAAATTTTATGAACCAAAAATATTTAACCAACACCATGAAAAATAGTAAGGAAGTTTCTACAATGTAATGAAAGAAATATGGAGGTTCGCCACATTCTCTTAGCTACAACATGTACGGCACATAGGCATAGGTGTACATGCCGCTTAATCCTGTTTTCCATAAAATGCTACACTGTTGCTACATTATGTAGCTGTCCCCGATGCAATGTGGAAGGCCCCAAATTGGTCGGCGACGAATTGCCTAAGCTCAACCGGGTGACACAAAACGATACCACCTTCTCTCTCCTTCAACGATCATTATACTTGATTTTCTTGTGTTAGTTACTGAACATCAATTGTTTGTATGAAGAGATGCCCATATATAGACATGATGTGATGTCATTATAATCAAATTTACTCTGCAAAAAAATGTGTAGCGATTTTAAAGAAGATGAAGTTTAGCCAGATCTACAAGGTAACAAATTTGAAAAATGTTACTTGGGTTTCGTAAAGAACATTTGATTATCGTGTTGTTATCTAGCTTATAGGAAGTTACAATAGTCTACTTGGAAAACAAGATATTGGCAAAATTTGAAAGATCAAATAATCAGAATGCTTTCGGCTATACTTTCTTGTATAATATATTCGAGTAAAGTGGAGCGGGCCACAAGTGTAGCTTAATTGTTTAAAAACCGCATGGAATAATACAGTCAGCACGGTTTCTAGAAATGTCGTCGAATTATAAACCACTGGGCATCTTGTTTTGTGCCTGTGCTACTTTATTGCGGCAATGATGATTTTGGGACAGTTTCAACCTATGCTATTCTAACCTCATGAATTTTACCCCTGAAATCTAACCAATATCAGGTATAATGATAAAACAATGAACTTGCCTATGTATAAAAATTGCACACATATTTGAAATACGGTGTGCTGTGCTACAGTAGTCACAATTCTTCTTCAATTAATTTGTCACTAAATATTGGGCTAAATTTTGCACAAACATTTCACTGAGCTATGTACCACAAATATAATGATAATAATGATAATAATAATAATAATAATAATAATAATAATAATAATAATAATAACAATAATAATAGTAACAACAATAATAATAAAAATAACAATAAATATGTTAATAATGATGTTAATAACAATGATAATTACAATAAAAATATTAATAATAACAATAAAATTAATATCACTAAAAATAATAATGAAAAATAAAATTAACAATGATGAACAATAATAATAATAATAATAATAACAATAATAACAATAAAGAGCAGATCTTTCTCACAAATTTTGCAAAAGTTTAGCTCCTTTAAAACACTGATCGACTATCTGATGACCTGGTGCTCTGCTGTTAAAAATGACCTGATCTATAAATTAATCATAAACAAGATGTGAGGCTTTGGCACAGACTCAAATTAGCAATTCAAATTACCTATACATACTTCAACATCTTACAAAATGTTATCTCGATATTTTCAATTGATTTTAGTTTAGTTGGAATACTTATTGATGGTCATGAAAACAATTTTCTTCCAGTGTGGGTGGTTTCACAAAAAGGCTTGTGAAACATGGGATATAGAAGTGCCGCCACTTATTCCAATAAAGAAGTCATCATTGTGTGTTAACAAGCATACATTCTGGTCCAAGCACGTGCTGCAAAAGTAAAGAAAACATTTTAAAATTGTGCATAAATGTTAGGTAAATGTAAAGGTAGGAAGATGCTCTGTGGCTTGCAGCTGTAACTAGGCTGTATTGTGCACAGACATGGACCAACTCATTCAACAACTTTCTACTCCCCTAAAGGTCACATCATGTCCAATCAGTTGCCAAGAGGCGCACTTGCGCCCGTCCACAACAACAGGGGCTAAATTGACCAATACACCGGGGTAACCCCCTACTCTTCTCGAAGGATGTACTGCGAAGTGTACAACAGTCAATTGTGTACACTTGGCCTACGGTTTAGGGTCCTTATCCGAGAAGACTTGTTCTACCATCAGAACCACAGGCAACCGTGCCATTATTATGGCTGTAGGTTTTGGCGCCCCTGCATTAACCGTTCGGTCAATCAAATGTTAGTAGTTCACATGATAAATGAACAGGTGAGAATAGGTTAATGCACACAGGTGCTTTATAGACTCACTATGAGTCAACCTCAGCTAAGTCGAACACAAGGTAACTTAAAGTACACTTTTAATATTGTATCCTGAATGTTCATTTTTATAAAATGGTGGAATGACTAATCCAGGGATATGAAATAGATAGGGTCCAGGAAGGACATTCACAGATAGGATGTTAATACCACCTCAGCCCGACCATGATTGGGGCTGAGGTAAGAAAATTTATGATTAGAGTACCTCTAGATTTCTGGATATTTTCACCATTTTTTATAATTAAAAACAAAATTAGGTGGGAGGGTGGCAGATGCGTCCCCATTGAATCCGTCACTGTAGAGAATATTCGTTACCCTCATAATTTTGAAAGGTTTGAAACAATGACAAACTTTTAACTAGTGTACAGTTGACTTGGGCAATGCTGACTTTGCAAATATAACTTACAAAAAAAGAAGCTTGTACTCGTAAAAAGGCTCAAAAAGCAATGAAGCAACTTATAATCATTTTAACATTTTGTTTACTAACTGGTAAGTCTTGTTAATGTGAGGTATATTCCTACCAAATCTTAATTATCTTCCTTGGAGAGATTGGCGACAGTGCAACTATGAGAGTTGATTCTAGGTTTTGGGTTGACAATAATTTCTAGCTTTCGTGTTTGTAGCTAACTGCGCCTGGGTGTATCATTTAAGTTGAGTGCTTTGTAAAAGTATTTTCCAATATGTTTTGAGATGCACTTTACCAAAGTTCCTTTTGTTTTCATTTTTAATGTCAGAAGCAGAGATAGTGTATGTAACTTTGATAAGAGTTTCAAGTATAGTGTATATGACGAGTTTTAGTCGTTGACATAGCATGTTTAATGTTAATATGTATACGTGATATGTTGAATCATGTTGCAGAAAACTGGGTCAACAACACACAGCACCAGTGCAGTGCATAACCATAGTCCGTTTCTGTTTGATATCTCATTGTGCACCGAAAATTTGTTAATAAAATAAAATATGATGCATATTGTCATGAGTTGGACTTTTTATAAGTACTGTAAAAGCATTATGCATTCCATGGTGAAGTAGCCTATGCTAAAAGTACTTGTCCACGGACAAGTGGTCCTTAAAATTCTTGTTGTCCGACCATAAAAAACACTTGTCCCGGGCGTCGGGCAAGTGGGTTCGCTCATGCCTGTACTAATCGACACCAAAATATAATCACTTCACTTTTCGAATGCCTTTTATTGTATCAGTTGTACACCTGCCAACAAGTTTTACTCTTATAGCTGACAAACAAAATACATGTGTTAGTGTTGAAATGGATATATTTTGGAAATATAAATATGGGGATTAATTATGTCATCATCAGAAATGATATTCCTGATGATGACATAATAATTGTGGAAATATTGAATCCCGACACGATACTTGAAGTATGTATTATACTATCTTGTCTTGGACATTTGCACTAAAATCGCTTTAATGAACCTGACATCCAAACCCTACTCCGGACCTTTACCAAAATTTAATCATTTCTTCAATTGGTTATACCTAACACTTCCTGTAATTTTCAGTCATGTCTGTGCAGCCGTTTTTGAGATGTCGTACAAAAAAAACATCACACGAAAACACCAAAACGCGACAGACACACACACACACACACACACACAAAATTACACAACTGAAAATATACAGATACTGTAAATAATAAAGTTCTTGCATATTACCTGTTTCAAGGGCCTGTGATTCATTTGCTTTCCATTGTTCAGCCACATCATTGGCAAGGGGATCATCGGGGTTGGGTGCACTAAGTAACGCTTGAATTGATAACAAAACTGTCCTTATTTGCAAAGCAGGACTCCATTTATCTGAAATTATAATAAGAATAAAAATCTCATTAAGTAATAATAATTAATTAATTAATATGTACTAATAATAATAAGTATCATTATTATTATTATTAACAATAATAGTAATAATAACAAGATAATCTGAGATTACAAACTCTTGCCCTGTTGCACCATATCTACGTATATAGTCGATTCGCTCACTCCGCTGGTTATTGATGTATTATAGTGTGGGGTGAATTATTACCAGCTTTACATACTTATCTGGTGCAACCTAGCAGCAAAGGTCCACGTATTGTGTAAAGTTAATCGGCTGTATGGGGTTTGAATCTCCCTCGTTTTTTAAAAATAATTTTATTATCATTAACTTTTTAGCTTTTGTGCATCTATAGAGTAACTTTATTATTATTAAAAATTATTTTTTATGTATAAAATTGGGACGGCAAGTTGTGAGATATACGGCTGGAAAATATTAAAAACATTCTAAAATCGAAGGATGTACTGGGTTCTTTAAAGTGCACACAAGCCAAATGCGTACACTGGGCCTACGGTTTAAAGTCCTTATCCGAGAAGACTTGTTCCACCACCGGAACCCATTGGCGAGTGAGCCATTTGAACCAGCGCCGATATTAGAGCTGAGGGTTACGGTGCCCCTGACTTAACCGCTCAGCCAATCAACTTGCCAATCTTACAGTACTTCTCCAATGCATCTGATACAAGGCCTAGCATCATAGGCCTCAGGTGGCAAACCCATCAATCGGCTTGAACGCCGTCCATACTGCTTCCAGTCTGCCTGCCAAAATTTGACACATGGTCGGTCTGCGGTCGATCCGCCTGAGTTAGCCTGGCCTAGTCAAATAACTCAAATGATCTGGTCAAGTAGGATCTGTCAGTTGCGACCGAAAAATATATAAATAACGTTCTAAAATCTGCATCTTACTGTAACTTAGATTACCACCAAATTTGGGGAGAATCTAGGACACACATAAAATTGTCAATGCGTGAAAGTTTGAGCCTTATCGGTCCAATAGTTTTTGAGTTAAGCGCCCAGAAGCACACGCACCCAACACACATCATTGCAATACCCTTCGTCGTTCCGTAATAATAATAATAATAATAATAATAATAATAATGACTTTATTTGAAAACGGAAAACTTGATCACAAATTAAATGTGATTTTTACAAGGCCATTTTAAAAGTAAATATTAACAAAATTTAAATTACAAAAACAATTACAAGACAATAATGACAACAATAATACTAATATATATAAAAGTGATAATAATAATAATAATAATACTAAGAATAATAATTACGACTAAAGACTAACTGTCTTATAGTAAAAATTGAATATGACCACCCTTTAAAAATTAAATTAAAAAATTGCACTGAGCATTTATCAATCCTCCTCTAAATCCTTGTCAGACTAACAAATTTTTTATAAAAAAAAACGTGTGACACACCTAAGTATGGTAATGATGACATCACATCATGACCATATATAGGCATATCATGACCATATATAGGCATATCATGACCCTATATAGGCACATCATGACCATATATAGGCACATCATGACCATATATAGGCACATCATGACTTTTTTTCAAAGAAAATTTGATTGTGTAGAAAGAGCTCAAGTAGTTAAAGAGGAGTGGCGCAGTGGTTGCGGTGCTGTTTCTTATCCTTGAGGTTGCAGGTTCAATCACTTGCTGTGTACTTCGCTTGTGTCCTTAAGCAATGCACTTTACCTACAGTTGTTTCTCACCACCCTGGAGTACAAGTGGGTACCTGGTAGGTTCAAACACAAAATGCGCTGCTGACTACAGCTGCAACATTATGGAATTCTCCCCAGGAAGTGGAGTATGTGTTCCATATGTGCTTGATCTAATGACAGGGGGCAATAATGTGAAGTGTTTAGATGCCTTGTTTGCAAATCACCATATTATGATACTTATATAAGTCTAACATATTATTATTATTAAATATGACCATATTATGTGACTATATAAGTCTAACATATTATTATTATTATTAAAAATCACCTTAAACCACCATATTATGAGACTATATAAGTCTAACATATTATTATTATTATTAAAAATCACCTCAATTCACCATATTATGAGAATATATAAGTCTAACATATTATGATACCAACAATGTATTGTTGCTATAACTAACCTTTGAGGATGTCCAAGCATATTCTTCCCAATTTGTCAATGTTTGGATGGTATATCTTGGTCATAAATCGCACTTTGGGAGGCGACATCGGATATTCTTCTGGTAAAAATAATTCTAATTTAAAAAAACCTCCTTCAAATGGTGACTGAAAGAAAAATAAAATAGAAATAAGCAAATTGGTTCATAGTATTATATTTCAGGTGTCACACATCTAACACACCATTACTTTTTTAGATCTACCAACACAGCGTTGGCTTTTAATTTTCATTGGCCAAGTCCTGCACTGTAAAGCATTGGACTTCTGATACAGGTCGCATAAAGAATAAAGATGGTCCTTCTGAGGTGCAAACTCATTGAACTTTCTAACACATCTCCCTAGAAATTGCACTCACTTCCACACCTCCCCAAGATTTCAGCATGCCTCCCAGGATAGCAAAATTTGTAGACGGATTTTAATAGATTTTATGAGGTTAATCATAAGAGAGCAGCTTAGCTCTGTTGTCTAATCTGGTGGTAGCTGCTGTGTGTGCGCTGAACCGTGGAGATCTCTAGGTCCCCGGTTCAATTCCCATCGCTGCCTCTCCTTGTGTTTCAGCTAGAGGGCTGAAATACAAGTTACAATAGCGCACCGTCTTTCGGATGAGACGCGCACGGGCCGTTGGTCCCGTGTGCATTATGGCCCATGTGCACGTCAAAGAACGCAGTACACTCTTCTGAAAAAAGTAGGGGATTGTCTCCCGGTGTACTACCCAATCACCACCAGAAGGACCCAACTGGAAATAAGTCTTCTTCTAGACTTTCATGGACTATTCGTGGTGTTTACCCCGAATACGTCCAATCCAATCCAATAAAAATCAACAACATAAGCCTTGAAACACATTGTGTGGCGACAGAGCTTCATATGAGTGAGAAGCATAGACATATGGGAGGACAAAACAAAGGGATTGAAGCTCAAGAAGACACATGGACCGGAGACATCATGGTGCAGTATGATATATTGGAGGTAAGTTAAGCTGCACTGATGTCCCGCCGTATGATATGGACCTTGTGACATGTAATGGAGACATCAAAGAATGGTAATACATTGAAGCTAAGGCGAGACTTTTTTTATTCCTTGTTTCGCATACTTATTTTTTTTAAAGATTATCGGAGGAGGGCGGAATAAATAAATTTTGTTTTCTCATTTAGTAAATAGTTCTGCTAAAATCATCCATATGGAGGAGAAAATAAAAAATAAAATTTTATTGGTGAATGTAAAAAAGGATGGTTAAATGCTTCAAATTTATATAATTAGGAAAAAATATATATATATCTTTTCTGAAATTTCCACTTTTCGTGGCAACGAGTGTACTAATTGGCCAAAAAAGAAATTTTATTTATTTTTTCTAAATTATCAATATTTGCAGTTGGCGGGTTTGCTAAACATGGTATAAAAAGTGTCTTGTCTATGTTGAAGCAAAGCAAATGTTGAGTTGTGCCTTGTGATATGGACCTTGCATTATGGACTGGCGACATCATGGACTGGGATAGCACAGTATGATGTATGATTGGGTATAAGTTATGCTAAACTGATGTCGCACCTTTTGACATGGACCTTACGACATAAACTAACACAGTGCAGTATGACGTATTGGAGATCAGTTAAGCTAAACTACAGTAATGTCCTGCCTTGCAACATGGACTAAAAACAACAAAAATGTTGCAGAATGATGTAGGCCTAGAATCTACAAAGCCACCAAGGCCAACGACACTGATACCCTCCCAACTGACTTGAATGCCTTAAGAAAATTACCTCTGTTCAGGTCGGTTAGCCGTTTTAGGCGATTAATTATTTCTCTTTTGTTCTTTCTTGTTCTTTTTTTTACCTTCCAAAAGGGGGAGGGGGTGGAAGCAGCCGGCCCTCCTCAAATCACAAGCCCTGTGTCTCCGGACAACTTCCGATGAACATTCAAGCCGCACAAAAATCTATAAAGTTAAAGTGTGTATGGTATGTACTGTGCGTTACACTCTGTGTATGAAACCCCAATGAGAAAAAATATCTTACATCTTTAGGACCTGCCATTTGAACATGAAAATAACGAGCATTATCTTCATTTGGTATAGCTTTGATTCCAGCCACAGGCTCTGCCATAAGCCTCTGCGTTTCCTTGAAAAAAAACAAAAAAACAAAGAATTATCAATAAACTAGCAGATCAGTTAATGGTGAGATACTCTTTTATTTAATGAACAATGATATAGACAAAAATCATGCTTTCTTTAGGAAAGCATAATATTAAAACAGTGTTATATGTATAACCTCATTAATATTCAAATGTTCAATACTTTCCATTTTTGTGTAGAAGTATTAACTAATAAAATTTAATATTGGTTAAAATAACAAAATTGGGTTTAATTCTCATTTTATATAAAAAGAAGTGAATTTCATGATATAAATCTCAACAAATAGAAAGAATGGTCAATTTCTTGTAAGAATAGCTCATTTTGAGTAGCTAAATGCGATCTTCAAAATTCTGTACATTTCAGTAATTTTCCTGTTACAACACTATATAAAGTGAAGTATAATTTTATGACCCATTGTTCAGAGAAGATGCAAAATTGAACCAATACAGTTGTAATTGTAAAATGTCAGTACTTCCTCTTGTATAAGCCCCCCAACCCCTTTGAGTTTGAACCAAAAATCGGGCCAATTTTTGGGGGTTGACTTATACCCAGGAAATCCCTTTTGTTGAAATGGCAATTTTTCTACCCTGTATGCCTAATTAAAAGCCAATATTTTATATTTTTTTCTCAAAACATTTTTGTAGAAGTCATGACCAATTTTTATACAAATTATAATAATTAGCAATAAAAATTTTAATATTAAACACAATGTCTATGATTAATAATAGTAATAATAATAGCAACAATATTAATAATATCATAATAATAATAATAATTCTGTAATGACTTATAATGACCTATGTATGTGGTTTTTTAATTCCAATTTAATGTTTCAATAGCCTTGTTTAATTCGGTGTTTGTGTGTGATTTTTGGATTCTGTGGTGTAAATTTGAGTTTGTCCTGTAATTTTAAGACTATTTTTTATACTTTGACGAATATTTGTACATTTTATCTCAATTCAGCTTTGTGCTGCGATGATATTTTGATTTTGATTTTCTGAAATAAAGATACCTTGATATATACCGTATTCTCCTGCTGCCAAGGAAAGGGTGGTATAAAATTGGGTGTATATTAGGGAGAGGGATTATACCTAAGGAATAACATTATGTTTTTAATCGTCCATTTTTTTTTGTCTTGGTTATTTTTTTATCTTGCTGATTTTTAATTTTTGTTTTGTATTCTCACTAATTTAATGTATGGACCTTAATGGAAATAAGGTTTCTTTTTTACTTTTCTTGTGTCAATGTCATCCTTAGTATTATGTCCTCGTTTTCCCTGTATTAGTTTGCTTTGTATTTTTGTATGTACAGATACTGAATAAAATCAATCAATCAATCATCTAGAGTAAATATTTTAAAACAGAAATTGAACTCTGGCGCCCCCTATAAGGATTGTATTTTTGCAAGAGCATCTGTGTGCTTAGGCTTGTAGTAGTAAAAAAAAAGTGTATCAAAAAAAGAGGGAAAGGATATGAAAACAACTTCATTTAATGTATGATCGTGAAATTAATTATGTTTCAATCCTGCAGCTGTAACACATTAGGGATATAAAGGTTGCATGGTTCACTGAACATGAAGTGCTTTAGCCTCTGTATACAAGTTGCTTTGTAAACAATTACTATTATTACCGGTAATTTTTCCTGAATTTAATAGACTTGATATTAACCAACCTTGATTATTCTTCGTGGCAATCCTGCCATTATAAAAGGTTTGAACTGGAATGTGAGAAAGTAGATTCAAGTCCAGTAACTGCAAAACATAAATGACACAAAAATCATATCTGATATTTATGCAATACATTTTTGTATTAGAAATAAAAGGCCTATCTAAGTCAGTGTAAATATTTTTGTTATTACAAAATCGAAAAAAATATTAATAAAACATAAATGATAAAAACAATTACAATGACCGGGGTTAAAAGTGCTTCGTAACTGTAAAGAAAGGCGCTAGGACTATAGCCGAATAATAATTAATGATATTTCTGCAATATCCATAATACGACCCTGCAGTCCATAACATTTCCTTGTGTGAGAATTTTTTTTATTGTCTAAAAAAATTGACATGTACTTGCCAATTTCTGTAGTTAAATATACTGAGCATACCTTTTAAAATATATATATAAAACCAGGGTCAAAAGCGCTTTGTAACTGCAAAGAAAGGCGCTAGGCCTATTAGCCTAATAATAAATTTAATGATATTTCTGCAAATATCCATACTATGACTCTGCCGTCCATACATTTCCTTGTGTGAGAATTTTTTTTGTCTAAAAAAAATTGACATGTATGATATAATTGATAATTTCTGTAGTTAAATATACTGAGCATATCTTTCATAATATATATAAAAACTAAATTAATATAACATTGTATTGTATATTCTTCCTCATTTTTAAATTGCAATGCTAAACAGTGTACATTTAATTCCAATATAAATTGTTATTTCCCTCATACCAATTTAGGGATCAAGAACCACAGGGGTGTAGGTCATGTCTTAAACTCATAATGGTCTACCTGATCCAAGCTAGGGGCCTAGCCTAGGACCTAGGTTAGGCTAGCATGTCATCACAGGCTTAGCCTAGTTTTAGGCCCTCAAAGCCAGGCTAGGTTCTAGGCCTAGATGCCTAATATTAATGTAATAACAATCAATAAATTGCCTTCTAAACATACATTTATTACGAATATTTACCCCTTTAGGCCACATAGGCCTTTACTTGCTATTGGTGAACACGAAAGAAATTGAATATTAAGGTTGAATACCACAAATTCTATTTTGTATAATGATAGTCTAGGTGCTAGGCCTAGGCACGACAGACGTTTTCCCTAAGTCACCCTCTCTCGCTCCCCTCAATCCAACCTCGCTGAGCATTCCTAGCGATAGTTAAGGCCTACAGTTAACACGAGATCGTATTATAAATAACAGAATATCTGTAATTAAATAACTGAAACATTAAAGCAACTTCAACTTATAGTTTCATGACAATAACCCAAAAGTTGTATTTATAATTAAAATAGTCATAATGGACAACTAGCCTAAACATGCATACTTATGTTTTTATCTGAATTCCAATGATATACCGCACTTTTCTCCCACCAATACTTCCTGCCTGTTCAACCATCATAGAGATTTCGACCAGTGGTTGCCAGGATATTACCAATTATTTGTTTCAGTTTCACATAAGGAGGGCAGGGTCGGGGCGTATCCAGAGGGGATCGGAATGCTAGAGCGGCTTGGGATGGGAAATCCCAAGCTTCCCCCACTGAAAATTTGCTGAGCCAAAAAATTTCGCTCAAGTAGTAAAATCACGTCATATCAACTTATTTCTGTCAGCCAAGCGGGGGAAGGGGAACTCCCCCGTCGGTCAGGCCTGGGTGGACCCCAGTGAGGGCACTCAGCGGGGGCAGGGGACTCCCCAGTCGGACCAAAAATATATGCCTATTTGATGACCAATCACTAATATTGTAGTCTAAAACTTCATGGGTGATCAATAGGCAGCGGCGGATTTAGGGGGAGCCCAAACCCGCCCACGCCCTTATTGTAAGCAAATTTCACCATTGATATGTCCTCCACTAAGACATTAACCGTCGCCCTACCCCCAATTTCTTTGCCCCTCCCCCCATCAAAGGGTCTATTCCTCTTCTAGCGCTGTTATTATTTTTTATCTATACAACACACACACACACACACACACACATATATATATATATATATATATATATATATATATATATATTGGCATATTCAATCAATGGACTAATTAACTGTTTTCCATTATTTTGCCATTTAATTTATTTGTTGTAGGCCTATTATAATAATAATATATTTAAAAAAATGTTTACTTATTTTCAGTATGAGCCTATCTGTTCTCCCTAGCCGGATATGACAAGGGATTTCGCCATTTAATCTATTATATTGAACCAGTGCTGGGGCAGTGAATCAACGCACCCCCTAAATTGTAATAAAAAATAATTGTATTAAATTGTTAATATATTATCTTTATCATTATGAACATAGTGATTTTATAAAGTGTAGAACTGTAGAAGAGAGCACAATTTCCGGACACCTGAGGTCCATTCTCAATGTTCGCACCTCACCCCCAACCAATGGTGAGGCGCAGCGCAAACATGGTGTGTACTCTCACGCACCCCTTATGGACTGCTAATATATTGTGGTCTAAAAGTACATTTTGGACCATACAAAGCCATAAACCTCTCCCCATGAACCCTACAATAGTACAAGCGAGTTTTATTCCAGGCCGCCGACCGAGGGACCGAGGCTTAGTCCTCCTTGGCTTGGACCCCCCATCGTACATGTCGGACTCCGCCTTGTCGCCGCTGGTCAGAATGTTACTCTCTGATCGGGTATCTTTGGGAATATAAACGTTTTTCCAAGGAGGTTTGGAACGGCATGATGCGAGAAGCAGACTCTTCTCTCTAGCCTAAAAATGAGATCTTTCCTTTGTTATATTAAATTTCAAATTTTATATTTTCATTGATGATATTGTATTGTATTCTTTGTGTTTGGGAGGTCCTGCTTTGGTGAGAGCCACATGACAGTGGCACACTTGTTTACTTTTGTTTATCCCGAATTGGCAGCATTTTGTTTTTTCTCCAGACACAGTCATAAGCTTACCGAAGCGGTCACAAATTATAGTAGAGTTATGGTTAAGCTGTAGTATAACAGTAAGTCCTCTAATAGTCTAAGTCGTGGTCTTTTTCTTTTTTTTGTGAACTTTGGGTCTTTTTTTTTGCGAACTTTGGATCTTTTCAAGATGAGCTTCTTTACTAGATGGGCTACTTTCGGAAAGTAAAGAGGGGGTCACCTTTTCAAACTGAATGCTGTGAATTTTGGGAAACCACGGTTCCAAGGTGGTCTTTAATTGGAGGGAGACCTGTACTTCTATAAAACAATAAATAGGACCACTGTAACATCAGTCTGTATTATGGAGTATAGGCCTATTTGAATAAATCATTGAAACTACTTAAGTACTTTATAAATCAAGCGTGTTTTTAATTTATCTTGTTTCTTTGAAATTTGGACTTCTTTTTGAGGCTATTTTTGAGGCTATTTTGCAAACTAAAGAGGAGGGGGTGGAAGGCCTTAAATTCCAGATGGGCTTCTCGAAATTAAGCCTTTTGTGCTTCTATTCGAAGTTTTACAGTTAAGGCTAAAGAAGTCACATTTTTTATGACGTAAATATTACATGTAGTAAGTAGTTCGGATGATTTTTCTTAATTGTATTGAATTTTACATTGGGCCGCAATATTCAATTCAATTCGTAATATCAATAAAGTATTTTTATTTTGCTCATTTGTGTGATGGTAATCATAATCAATTGTGTAACATCTATTAGCACACACCGACTAAGCCAGCACCAGCGCTTAGGGGACCAGGGTCCCGACCAGAATATTCTTCACCAATTAATTCATTTTGCTCCAAGTCGGCCCATGAGCTCCACTTGGACCCAACCCATGGGTAGTACGGCCCTAAAATGTCGAAAGTTAACCAAGACAACAAACCCCTTTATTGTGTGACATACTTTGTTATTATAATCAATCACATTGCGAGTTATAATAAACGAATTATAAAGTTTTGAAAAAAAAATAATATAACATAATACAAAGGTTTGACATAAAAAGATCATTGGTAAAAAGAAATCACAATTCGCATAAATAGCAATTTCCTTTGCAATCATGAATTGCATCTGTTTAATTATATCTCGGATTCCTGCATTGGCAAGTCACCCAAACAAATAGTGTATCTTAATAAATTTTACATAATTTAGCATCAAGAGGGAAATCACTTATTATAAACGGTTACCAGTTCTAAAAAATAAATTTCATTTGTAGGTGTAGTGTAGCCCTAAAACTAATACCTGAATCACATGTGGTGAAATATCACACTGACACAAGGAAATTTAACACGAACTTCCTGAGATGTTCCTACGAAAATCACCGTTGTCTTCACACAAATTAATAACTATTTAAACATTAATACGCATTGAAAATATGCACATCACAAGAAAAGACCGCCCTGTAAGATTGCACACATATTATCTTTTTTTAGAATCCGAATTTATATGGCATCTTCCACAATCCAGAAAATATACAAAGACGCTGGCATCAGTATTTCCCTGGGTCACAGGATATTTAGTTGTCAAACCAGCACATTTTTGTGCAGCTTTTTTTCTGTTTCCCTAGTCGTGTTGCTTTACACGCACAACCACATACGTTCAATGTCACACCACCTTACCAGGTGCGTAAGTAAAGTGCCTTGACCAAGGACACAAGCAGTGCGACGAGCGTCGATCTAGAACTCCCGATCTCACGATTAGAATTCCAACACCTTACAGGCCTCTTGAAATGTCAGGATTTCTTAGTTGGATATTTCATGGGAAGTGTAGCTACTATAAGCGCCTCTTTATGGCCGCTAGGACCACGCCCCTACGCAATTCAGCACAATTATGCTGCAAGTTATGGTTATTCTCCCACCTTTACCTTACACGGATGCGCGTTCACATGGACGCGAATACTAAACTTTATTTGACACAGAACCTGTAACATTTTTTCTCATGTGAATCGTACAAGTCGAATCGAATAAGTTTCACTACTATTTAGGTTTGATTACTCAGTGAAATGTACTAACCAGATTAGGTCAGTCAAAATTCATATCACTTACTTCAGCACGTGTTTTCAAACGTACCAACTGAAAACAAAATTAGCAATGGACACGAAAATAGCTTTCAAACACGCATGTGCCAGTGGAATTTCTATAAACCAAATATAATTAGGCGTAAAGGGAAAAACACATGCAAGCACCATGACAAATACCTTAACGTGTTGAAACTAAAGATTTCTCAACTCATTTATCTAGCCAGTCTCGCATGTTGCGATTTTCCTTACCATAATCTGCACTACAACACGCTAAATCGTAGTTGTCTGGTGCGCGGCAGTTGTGGGCAAAGTGTGAGAGGTATTACGCATACAACACAGCACCGTCAATCATATAGAAGTGTACGATATCATGTACTGTAGTCATAAGTGCTGTAGCATAGCTTATCGTAAGCAAAATTGCAATGTGTAAGACTGGATTCATTTGATAAGTGTGCTCACTCATTATGAAAGGCAACAGGGCTGTCAGTAAGATTTATTTTGTGTAATTTAATTATATACAGACTAAATATGATTCAGATTCTGATATAAACCGTTAACTTGATAAATTGTCCTATAGTGCAACCGAATGCATCTATATTAATGATGAAATGAGGTAGAAATTTGATTGATGAAAATGTGTATATAGTGACATTCATTACTTCAGTAGATACTAGCGATATTTTTGGCCCTGTTTCTGGCAACACTTGATAAAATTAAAAATTGGGCTGGATAGAATGAAAGTAGGTGTTCTAACTCTAGAGACGAACATATCGTCTGAGATTAAAAAAAAGAAAAAAAAAAAAAAAACAACAGAAAAACTTGAAAAAAGCAACCAGCTATTAATCATGATGTTCATAATGTTCTATAAATTATAGAACATTTTTACACTGCTGTTATAAAAGCCACAGTAGCATGTATATAATCTATCTATAATAGCTTCAATATATTAAAAAGTAAACTTCCAAGAATCAGGAACCCGTGCCTATAAACAAGCATGACCTGTCTATAGCAGTACAAGTAGTCTTTTCTGCAGAAAAAAAAAACAAAACAAAAAAACCAAAAAAAAAAAACCCTTACAATTACATTTGAAGAGAAGTAAATATATTGGGCGAAATTTTAATAGTTTTCTGGTATGGCTTACGGTAAGAAGGTCTATGTAATAACATATATTTGCCAATACTGTATTTTACTATCAATAATAACTTTCCACCAACCTCTTTATTGTCCACCCTGCTATAATACAATTTTATCACATACCAGTTCATCAATAAAGATAAACAATCATTTCATCAATAACAATGTCATTGAAACCATTGGTACATGGTATATAGCGTTTTCTTACATTTTATTCACATAAAACCTGCCTGAACATTATCTTACAAATACTGCGCATTGTTTTTTTTAATCCGGGCCAATGCTGCCTCGGCCAGTGGTCTGTCCACTGAAACCATCTCCACTCCGCATCATCGCTTGATGATGCATTTCTATCTTCTGGTTGCCGGCGGCAATTAGAGCGGATTGTTGTTCAGACCAATCCATATGGCATGCATCATTTAATTGCAGTCTCGAGGGAACCAGCCATTTTTCTGTTAAAGAAGAATGCGGCCGGCTGTAGACCTATAAAACTGTTAGAACAAAGGCTTCAGCTCAAATAAGTGAATATAACAGATCATCAGAATCACCACTTCCTGAAGAACAAACATATTTAATAATTACTACAAAGTAAATATTAGGAAATAAACACTGATAAAATTTTTAAAATAGTAAGAACAAAATACAATTAAACTAAACCTCTATCCACATTATCTTTAAGTGACAAGTAAATGTAATATGCCCATATTTGGGTGTAATATGATATCATCATGCCCATATATGGGCTCATCACTCAAATTTGTGATTTTTTAAAATAAGACAGTATGGACTCAGCTTAAAAACTAAAATGATTACATGTACACTGAAATAAGAAAGATACTTACCATATTCGGGATCAAAATCCTCCTCGTCGTCATCATCAAGACCAAGTAGAACATCCATGTTCTCATCATCTATCATCAGATCATTGTCGCTGTTGTTGGACATCACTTCTACGCTGTCATCACTATCCCCATCATCGTCGTCATTATCATCATCGTCGTCGTCGTCATCATCCTCCTCATCATCTTCATCATCGTCGTCATCGTCGTCGTCATCTTCGTCCTGTGGAGAAAAAAAATAAAAGATTAATAAGTGAGATGATCCATGCTTAAAAATGCTTAGAGCATGGCTGCACTTAACAAGGAGGAAAAATGTTGTACAGTAATAGATTGTGAAGACATACTTTTTTAGACAGAGCATACTGTGTGACCTCCTAGCCAATTTCATATAATTAAATTGTGTAAAGCGCTGTCCAGTCTATCATAATTTTATTTGACAAAAAACTGTTGTATGCCCATATATAGTCATGATGTACCTATATATGGTCATGATGTGATGTCATTATGACCATATTTAGGCACATCATGTTTTTGTCAAATAAAAAATGTGAAAGTCTGGGCAGGTATCTGTAGCACACCTGTTCAGTGTCATCGTCGTCTTCTTCACTGAGTTTGCTCCGTCCAATCTCATACAGGTGACAGAAACTCCCAACATCTAGGTTCTCCATACTGCCTTGATGCTAGAATAAAAAAAATAAATAAATAAAAAAAATAAAGAGTACATATTACAATAATACACATTAATAAAATTTGCGACAACCACTGCACAGAGCCATAAATACCTTTATTATCCTTAGTTCTATTCCATATCAGATGTATTTTTAACAATTTTTTCCTCAATAAAAAATGCCCCCCACTCCTCAATGGAACTTTCCAGAGTGTCAATCAAACTTAACTGACCAATCAGAAAATAGCCTGGAATGGGGCGGGGCTCAGCGGAAAGTTCATTCATCTCCATTCTTGGCTCCCTATTATAATTCTAGTTTCCAAACTAGAAAAAAGTTACTTAAAAATATATTGAAATATTTATTAAAAGAGATTTGTGTTCGTTACTACCACAACTAAAGTAATATTATTTATTGGATTAAGAATTACTTATTTTACCTCAATTACAGCCAGCATCGTGTCAGTGGGGTCAACTGACAGGTCAAAAATATTCTTCTTTACATCTATTGTTGCTGTGGTAAAAAATAACAAATTCAATCACTACTGTTTACAGAAATTAAATTATATAAAGCCAATGTAATTAAAAGAATGTAAAAAAAAATCCCAAAATTTACAATTTACAAAAAGTTTATCTATGATATTTAATTTTTGACAATTACTTACAGGTCTCCTTCTAATGAAAGACCACTGTATGTATAAACCACCTCTAATTAAAGACCACTGTTCTGTGGACACAATTCAACAATTGTTTTTTATCTTTCTATCTATCTATCATTCTAATTAGAGACCAAAGCTGTTAAAGACAGTGGAAAAACCCAGCACCAGAAGTGGCCTTTAATTGGAGAGAGACCTGTATTATCACCACAGTTATCATCACAGTGATTATTCTTGTAGGCCTTTTGTGTTGTAAATTAAATCAGCATGCAACCTAATCAACGTAACAAGCACTTGTTGGTAATGGTATACAAATAATGAATATTTATGAGTGCAATGGGAAGGATATTTTTATGAATTAAAAGTTTCACTGTTCCATTCGACGAGGCGGAGCCGAGTGAAATGGAACAGTCACTCTTTCAAAGATTGAAAGATTGATTGTGTGAATAAAAAACATAACAAGTGACTCACAAAAACAAGTGACATGCCTAAATATGGTCAAGTAGAAATCACATAATGACCATATATAGGCACAGCATGACCAAATATGGGTATACAACAATACTTCGTCAAAGAAATATGTTAGTCTGGACACAGCTTTAGAAGTATCAAATGAAAAAGTATGTAATGTCCTATATTTACCTATTGGCTTATAATTTGTTGAATCAAACGTTCGGAATGAGCTTCCAAATGGACTATGCATTGCTTGCTGCCCCAAAGGATCGTCGTCGTTATCATGCTGTAACATAGCTGAAAAAAAGGTGGGGAAAAAAAAAACGGCAATTGTATTTCCACTGTAATTTAAAGTAAAATAATAAACGAACGACATAAAGAGGCTCTCCGAGTGTCTATCACGCTTGACACTCGGTTTGGTCGGTTATTTAGTCGGTATATCCAGGTAAGTATTCACGAAATAAACTAATGAAATAGATTCTGTTTTGATGTAAAGGCAAAACTCACCACCATAAATAACATCTCCTTTATTGTTGAAAACTATATAGCACTGGTCTAATGCAGGAACTGTGTGTAGCAGATGAAATGTTCGTAAATCCCACTAAAAACATGTTAAGGGTATAATATAGAAATCCACAATATATTATATACAGTTTTTTTCTTCTAGAGAAACCTGAGTGCACTAAATCGTAGAAATCCACTGTTAACTTTTGGTGCCCGGTTCAATTCCATTCGCTGTTCCCCGCGCTGGAAGGCCAAAATGCAAGTATAAAAAAAGCACACTGTATTTTGCATGAGATATTTAATCAATTGGTCTTGTGCGCACGATGGCACATATGCACATTAAGAAACGCAGTACACTCTTCAGAAAAGAGTAGGGGATTGTCTCCCATTGTACTGCCCAATCACCACTAGAAGGACCTCACTGGAAACAAGTCTATATTCGTTTATGTGTTATTCTTGATGTTCACACCGAATAAATGTCAACCCAATCCAACATGACTTAACTAGCACAAGGAGTGTAAAAGAAGGTTCATGGGACCAAAGTCCCTTGGGTGTTACAAGAGTCTCAAGGAATCGGGGCGGCCTTCATCACTCCTGCGAGAAAGTAACATCTAGAAACTAACCCATCCCCTGCAAATTCATGATATATGCATGTTGTCGCTACAGCATTATCAATTGTCTCCCTAGAAATCTGGTGGTTATGGGTATTACTACACAGGGCAAAATATGATTTGGGATAAGCAGGCCTATTAAACCAGATGTCTTGGAGAAGGCCCATCCAACTTGGGATCCCTTCGGTATCTGATAGGTTTGGATGTTAATGTGCAGCTTACTAGCTGTAATGATCATGGAATATTTGCACAAGGAGCTGAAAGTATAATAAATGGTTAATAAATGGGATAATAAAACGCATACAATCATTAGCATAAGACCGAAAAATTTTGTAATTTTAGAGTTCAAAAAAGGATACAATTTCCGAGTTAATGATGATTTCCAGCCCTGTTGGATGGAACTGACCACTGATGTGTTGATTGAACTTGTCAAACTTGTAGATTGTTCTTGCAGAACGCACATCCCACAATACACCATCATTCAGAACAAGTTCGTCTGTGGGGTCAAATGTGGCAGAGTTCTTCGTGTAGTGATTGCTTAACTCGGAAGCATATAATGTTAATATCTTCTGGCCGGTCTCTGTATCATATATCTATATAGAGCCAAAGAAAAAAAAAGAATTAATTAAAACATACATAAAAAATGAAATATTGTATACCTCATGGTTACTAACCTGGTCATTGTACGCATAAGAAAAGCTATACATTAATGTGGAAACAAGCTAGTGGTCAGGGGTTCTATTCCTTACTGTGCAAGTCGCTTGTGTCCTTAGGCAAGGCACTTTCTCTACATTTGTCTCTGTCTACCGAGGAGCATAAATGGGCGCCAGCATAACCTGGGAAGATTAACATACTCGCAGTAGGATGAGTGACATTCCCTCAACACATTGCACAATCTATCACCAACGCTTAAGAAGGAGAAATGGGCACTCCGGCCATTTACAGGTTTGACTACCTTTAACTTTAATCAATCGATAATTCATGAGGTTGGGCCATTTTTGTATAATTTAACAGAAATGATAATCTTGACTTTTCAGAGCTTTTAGTTCCATTTACACAGTGAAACATTTTACATGAATGACGACAATCAACACATTGTTGAAAAACTTATATACATTAATTAGAACAATAATTTACCAATTACATAAATTGAGATTAACACTGACAAGTCAACAAATTTTACTGGCAATAAAGGAAAGAAAAATAAAGTACTTTGGTCACATTAATATAAGAAATGGCTTACAGACAGAGCTTTTAGAATGAAAATTAGAAGGTAAAAGAATGAGAAGGAGGCCAAGAATAAGCTGGATGAGTAACATCGAAGACTGGACCAAGTTGAAGTGTGGAGAATGTGTGCAAAAAAATGAAAATCAAGAAAAGCTACATTTACACTAGATACGATAATGACACGATAAAAAATGTGCTTAGTATTGAAGAATATAAATGACGCAATGATATGTCGTTGTCATATCTTTATCGTGTCTAGTGTAAATGTAGCTAAAGATGGAGATTTATGGTCATTGAAACGCTGAGAGCAGGTGACACCGACAGGTAACAGGTAATTACTCTTAAATACCTCCTCTCCATACCCTAGCATCTTGCTCTTTTTGTTTTGACAAGATGTTATGTTTACTTACATGAGCAGTGTCGTCTTTGGTTCCTATAATACGGTCTTGGCAAATTTTGTTGAACTCCACGTACTGATCATTATCAAACGTATGAGCTATTTCCAACTCGGATCCAACGCTCCACAATTTGGATAATGGCTGGTCCCAGGAAGAACACGTTAGTAACAGTTTACCATTCTGAATACCAAAGACAATTAAAGTTAACATACATAACATGTAAAAATTAACTCTCTTCCATTACTTGCAAGATATATGTCTCATAATTTATGAAACTAATATGCACCTTAACTCATTCTTTGCCTCAGTTATCTTTTATCTATGTATTTACATACTTCTGACTACAGTAATTAAAAAGTATTTGTCTGTCAGGGTTTGAAATGGGATATCTGTCACAGGGTATAAAGGTGCTTGTTGGGTGTCTGTCAGGTTATCTATGATAATTAATGAATATGTAGGATGTACCCTACATTAAATGTATGTATGTGGGTGTGTTAAGTTGGGCATGTGTCCATACATATTCCTCTCACCTTGCTTGGCTGGCAGTGTACAATTGGCGAATCCTGACACATGTGTACAGATTCTTCCTGTGAATAAAAAAAAAACAAACAAACAAAATCAAACTCACTGAATAAATACCATCAGGCGAAATATGACTACTAACCTATAAATTAGGATAAATAGCAAAAGGACAAAACATGAAATGTTCTTAAAGGGCAAGTTTGTAGAATGAGAGTGATGACACCTACAATGGTCTATTATGGAATATGGAATCTATAAATCAAATTTCCATATTGTTTTTTACATGTTGGACCAATAAATCTTATCTTAAACTATGACAAAAAGAAAAAGGAAATTTGAAATGAGAAAGTGCTGATAGGATTAAGAAAATTTATGTGGAACTGAAACAGATCATGTGATTTTAAGCAGGCCCTGGAAATATGCACTGGTAGCAACTCCAGTGACGAACTCATGATGGTGGAATCCATGATTAGAGCCTATCCAATGCTAATAAAGGGTTGAAGGGTTAAGCCTCCTGTACTATCACATGGCAGACGTGTAACACACCATTTATTCGCATGCACTCAACAACTGGAAATCAGACCAACAAACAATCACTCCCAAATTTACAATGACACAAGAAAAAAGATGGAAAAACAACACCTCTTAAAAAAAAACAGAAACACAACCTACTGTAATACCACCAGAAGTGAAGATGGTGCCACTGCCATCCCATAAACATTTGCAATTAATTATATAATAATTAATCCACTAATTATAAATATTGTTTCATTTCTTAATACTCACAGCTCCAGTAATTGCATTAAATATCTTGATATCACCTGAATAGTTGCCGGTATACAGACAGTCCATATTGTCCTGGGGATAACAAAAAAAAATGTAAGGAATAATACACATATACTGTAGAGAAAGCTGTTGGCGCAAATGTTGACCTTGAGGTCGGGGGTCGAAACCCTCACTGTGCAAGTAGCTTGTGTCTTTAGGCAAGACAATTTCTATACACGTTTATCTCTCTCTACTAAGAGTATAAATGGCTTTTGCACTGCTGTGCCAAAGGAGTGGCAAACCCCACAGCTTGCCTTTGCACAGTGTGGCCCAAATGCAAAGGAAAGGAAGACGGGCAGTCTGGCCTGGGAGGCCAGGGGTTCAGGTTTTGAACCTTTGCTTACATGTAAACTATGACTGTGGTTTAAGTATGAACTGAAATATAATCTGAATTGATATAATGTACTTTCATTATTATTTAGGATTTTTCAAAATTTCAACATTCCGGTTGAATCCTAGAAATTAAAAAAGTTTTGTTGCCTTACATTGTTTATATACTTTTAAAAATAAAATTATTAGACAACACCTCTAACGGTGATGTTTATTATAAGTTTCTAGAACATGCCAAACCTTTTTGCCAAACATGCAGCAAGTGAAACAGCCATCTTCCTCAGAGTCCTTCAATGTCTGCATTGCACGGAATCTTAAATAACAATAATAGTAAAAAAATAATAATGAAAACAGCAACAAGAAAAATAATAAAAGAGTAATAATGGCAAACGAAGATAATAACAATAATACTAATAGGAATGGTACTTTTAAAAGTTATTAGGTTGAACCCCACAACATTCCGTATTTCCTTTGATTCACTTATATTTTACCAAATGAATGAATAAAGATGGCAAATATCAGTGTTCTTTACCTGCTATGTATAAAGTGCCTTGTGCATCTGTCTCCATCCACTCCTCCATGCCTTGGAAAATACTTTTAAAAAATAGAATAGTGTTGATAGCAATACACTTAATTCAATGTAAGGCTTGTTTATACAATGTTGTTAGACAAAAGTTCTTGTTGGTTACCTTAGTCAGTGCCTGAACGGCATTACACTACCAAAGGCATGATCATGCTTGATATAGCATCATCATGCCCAAATATAGGCATATGACATCATGATGTCCAAATATGGGCATGATATGCTTTCATAGTGTGGATAGAGTTTTAAAAAGAACTGAGGAATACACTTACTGATCGTCTGCTCATTCTCGCTGTGATGTTCAGTGGAGCGTGTAGTCTGAAGCGAGGCTCTGGGCATTTGTGTGGTCTACCAACAAAGGAAAACAAAATTGTAGAAATGTCATAAAAATGATAGTAATGTTAGGGCTGTTACTTTTTTTAGTCAGGCTTTAAATAAACCATTTGTTTGATTTTGCACTCGTAAATTGTTAACCAGAACCCTGCGGGTGTGTACGTTCCTTTGTACGTAAACGTAGTTTAGAGGGATATGCAGTCCAGTAATGGTTTCTAATGTTTTTACGTACACCTACACCCCCAGACAGGTCCGTCCATCAAATGCTGTATATTTACATACCTGCAAACATTCAAATATCAAAAATAGGGACGCTATTCATTGGTGACAAAAAATTAAGATGGCAATTATATCCTAATTCCTGTACAGTTGCTTCAAACAAGAGTTACTTAATTTCAAGTGTACTGTTTATTTACCTCACAACCAAGAAAAAATATTTAAGTTACATTTTAATCAGTAGGCTTACAAACTTCACCATGAAGGGCACGGTATGTTGCTTGTTTCGCTGGATCTCATTGGAGTCATAACGTCAATATTTCGTCGCTCACATCACGAACTAACACAATTAAATTCAATTGTGTTAGTTCGTGAAATCAAAAAAGCGCGTCAAAATACGCGCTGTTGTCGTTAAGGCCTTTTTGTGTGGTAAAGAATACAAAATTGCTGGACAACCAATACGCGCTCGTTTTGACGCGCTACTGTGATTTCACGAACTAACACAATCTACTTTGATTGTGTTAGTTCGTGATGTGAACGACGATTTATTCGAATGACACTTATAATCTGTTCAACATTTTCAGCTTGTGTGTCATTAAAGCACTTTAAATTTTTGTTGTCATGATAGCTCGAAGCTTGGTTTTGTTTTTTCAACAATAGAGAAAACTTTCTCAGTCACTACTGCTATAAAATATTACCATAGTTCCCCGGGTAGAATCCCACACCGACTTTACGCCCAACTTCGCGTACACGAATTTCCCCGGGTGATGTCCCAGGGTCTGAGGATTGG